CAAGTCCTTGAATGTTCAACAACTTTACCCTTGAAGATTTTGAGGAACTCCTAATGACGTAATTTCTCACGTCATTAGCCCTACAAAGACTAGTTTGCCCTTGAAGATTTCGAGGAGCTTCTCATGACGTAAGCTCTTACGTCATAACGGATGTATCAAAAGACGACAAAGGGTAATGACAGATAATGATATCTTGCTACCTTGTCACGATTCCTCTTCCGTTACATGTTGTTAGACCCATTAAGCCTTGCATGTTAATGACGGTAAGATCGAATCGGTCTTTTGATAAATGTAAAAAAAATAATAATAATAATAATAATTTGTATTAATGTCACTATTTTTGTCTTTTAGTGATGTTCCTATTTTTTAGTGAGAAAATTTCCTCCGTAGGTTTTCTTTTACTTCTTTACTAAGTTTTGAGACCCATAAGTCATAAAGTGAGTCCCACATGTAAATTACTATTCATTAGTTTAATATTTTTGTTTTTCTATATAATGCTTCATAAGTCCCTTATGATGGGCAAGAAGCATTCACCTAAGAAGCATTCCCTTAGGAGCTTCCCTCTCTCCTCTCCTCCTTCTCTCTACTTCTTATGTAAATTTCTATTATCAATAGGAGAAGTTATTCAGCATCTCCCCTCTCCTTCTCATTCTCCTCCCCCCAAGTAAGTTTTCTTTGCTCCCTCTTATGGAGTAGTTTTCTTATAAGGGCGTCCTCGGATGCCTTAAGCTTTATTTATTAAAAGATGCAATAATCATTTAAAGGCTTAAATAATTTTTTGTACAGCTTTGTTTTGTGTTCATATAAGCTTATGAGGAGATGTCTAACCGGCTATGCCAGATTCAGTCATCTCATAATCTTATCATGGACTTGTGTGTTTATTTTCCTGTCTTTACTTTTCTGCATTTAATTTTGTTCATGCGTAAGCTTATGAGGAGATGTCTAACCGGCTATGCCAGATTCAGTCATCTCATAATCTTATGGTGAACACTTTTCTTGCTATAACCGACTTTATCTCGGACAGTCTTCATTTTAGCTAGCCCGGTTTCGGGTTCTCTGTGAGCTAAGTAACCACATTGACCGACAGAAGAGATAAAGAGTTATAACATGTTTTAATTTCCTCCTTTCATTCCCCTTTTCGGGTTCAGGGCAGTTTATTTTGGGTTCATTTCCGGTTTTCTCTGTTCTGTCTCCCCTTACTGGGGCTTTCTCTGTACCTTTTATTTTGGGGTACCATAGCAGTTCACTGGTGGTTCCAACCCCAATTCTCTGCCTTTGAGTTCCACCCCCCCCCCCTCTCCTCTTTTGGCACTCGATTCCTGCCGAGGACGGAATTGGAGCACGCAGAGGTAGCCACTTAGCCAAAAGCTTAAGCTGTTAGTAAGGGTTCACACTTTATACTTTAACCCCTGGTCCCACCACGATTCTGCGACTCTGATTCCCCCGCTCTTCGGGATTTTTCCTGAGGACTTACCACATTGCCTCCCAAATCCGTCCTCGGCAGGAATCGAGCACGCGACCTAGCTCTGATACCAAGAGTTTGGTACAAAGTGTTTGTCACTGCACCAATAGCTATAGCCGTTAGTAAGGGTTCCCACATTGATACTTAAACCCTCGGTCCCACCACGATTCCGCGACTCTCATTCCCCCGGTCTTTGGGAATCTCGAGGGGACTTACCACACGCTGCCCCAATTCTGTCCTCAACAGGAATCGAGTGCGCGTCCTCGCTCTGATACCAAAGGATGAGCACGCAGCGGTAGCCACTTAGCCAAAAGCTTAAGCTTTTAGTAAGGGTTCTCACATTGATACTTAAACCCCCGGTCCCACCACGATTCCGCGACTCTGATTTCCCCGCTCTTCGGGAATCTCGAGGGGACTTACCACACGCTGCCCCAATTCCGTCCTCGGGAGGAATCGAGTGCGCGTCCTCGCTCTGATACCAAAGGATGAGCACGCAGCTATGTTCTAATTGAATTCAAATTTAAAAAAAAAAAAAACATTTCAATAACCCTTAATCAATTTCAATAACTATTGAACATAAATAATTTTTCAATATTATTCCGACAATATTTAATGTGGTTTACAGTGAAAAGACTAGCATGATAGAAGTAGGAATGCGAACGGGTCGAGGGGTGGATTTTACTTCTCCGATATATGTTTCCCATTTTTTTATCCATCTTTGTTTTCGTCTCCGATGCCTATGGGGTTAGAAATTAAGTCTCATCCCCCATTTTTGTTGGGTTTCGAGTTCTCCGTTCAGTCTCCGATCTATATTATTTTTAAAAAGATAATTACATTTATAATAGATTAATTTTACTATCTATTTTTTATATATAAATAAATATTTATAATTTATAATTATTATTAATTAAATATACATTTTAATTTATTATACTTATATTAAAATATGTATGTAAAAGAAATATTTAATCATTTTTTATTTATAACATTATTATTATTATAATATTATATTTAAATATTTATAACATTATTATTATAATAATGTATTTAAACATTTGATTATATATATAAGTTAATTCATTTTTAAGTTATCATTTAAAAATATGAAATATATAGTTTATAAGAAAATATTTAATAAGTTAATTCTTATTCAATTAGTTCGAAGTAATAAAAATTTAAATTATCAATTCCTTTAATCCTTTAAAATACATTTATTTGATATATGATAAATAAGAATAATAAGATAAAAAAAATGACATAATAAAACCTAATAAATATAAATTATAAATAAAATAATATTAGTTACTATTAAGATTTATGTAAAATATTTAGAACAGGATAAAGAATAAAAAAAATTAACTTTGTGTTCATTAAATTAGTTGAAAAGATTGAAAAAAAATTATGGAAAAGATTAAGGAAATGTGAAAAACTGAAAGGTAAAAGAAATAATAATGTAATAAATTAATTAATATAAAATATTAAAAAAGATAAAAAAATTCAAAAATAGGTAAAAGAAAAAAAAGTAGTGAAATATAAGAAAATGACTTTAATAGAAAAAAAATATTTTTAAAATATTAATATTTTAAAATTTAAATTTAAATATAAAATTGGATCGAGAAGAGATCGAAATAGAAATTACATTATTCATCTCGTTCCGCCCGACTTTTGAATCCACCTCTGTTCCCACCTCCCATCAATTTTGATTTTTCCTATAAAACTCAAGGATGAAGACGAGTCGGTACTCACCCTACATGTTTAATTCTATAATCAAAATCAACATTAATTTCAAGCGTTTTTCCTTTTTTTGTCAAAACACGTACAGTAATAAGAATGGCAACGGCCTATGGTGGTATGGATGGATTTTGCGTCTCTCTCACTTTTTTAACCCTCCTATTTCCGACCTCGATAAAAGTCTTTATCTTTTTTCTTTTTATAAAATTTCAAGTTTTTTTATTTTTAACTCATATCTAATTTATATTATTTTAAACAAATAATTATATTTATAATAAATTAATTTTTATTATTTTTATATATAAATAAATAATTATAATTTTAAAATTATAATTATTATTAATTAAATTTATTTTTTAATTTATTATATTTATATTAAAATATATATTTAAAAGAAAGATTTAATTATTTTTTTATATAATCATATAATACTTATTATTATTATATTATTATATTATTATTATATTTAAATATTTGATTATATATATAAGTTATTTTTTTAAAATTATGTTTAGAAGTATGAAATTTATAATTTATAAAAAAATATTTAATAAATTTTTTTTATTTAATTAATTAAAAAAATAAAATAAAAATTATCAATTTATTAATTTATTAAAATATAATTATTTTATTAAGATAATATATATATATATATATATATATATATGATAAATAAAAATAATAAGATACAAAATTATATAATAAAACTTAATAAATATAAATTATAAATAAAATAATATTAATTACTATTAAGATTTATAAAAAATATTTAAAAAAATAAAGAAGAAAAAATATATGAATTTTATGTTCATCAAAAGGTTCGTAAATAGGAAATTACGAGTTTCGTCCCATTCAAGCATTGAAAAGGTATGTTTGCATGTTTACAAAATCACCGTAATCAATTAAACACTTGCTCGTAAAATAAAATGAAATAAACTAACTTATAGAAAGACTGTAAAAAACGAGCTTTTTTTACAAGTTCAACTTAATTGTATAAACTATTCTTCTTGGACATAAGCTTCAAGTTTGTGTTAACTTCCCTAAATAAATAAACATACACATGCAAATAAATCATAAAAGTATCACCGAGAGAAGATTGATTTAGAACCACTGATGTGTTTTTTCAAAAACAACTCGAAAATAATAATAATAATAATAATAATAATAAAAAATTAAGTTAGATTATAAAAGTTAAGAATAAAAAGTTAGAAAAATGATACAAGAGAACTTTTATATTGTTCAGTAGATATATGAAGAATATCACAAAATTCGGGTATATTCCTCTTTATTTGCTGTTCATATTTGTTGTGGTTATGACAATGAACAATCACCTCTGGGCAGCCTAACCTTATAATTTATCAAATAGGATGCATGCATTCATAATGCAATAATATTCATATAAAAATCCATGACAGCGACAAGCCATACTCAAACTCGAAACTTTCTTATGACTGAACTTGCATTCCATTTCCTTACGTATCTTCCTGATTAATTATTTGCTCGCAATCCATACAATGGACAATAACTAGTTTCACTAATCATACTTCTTACTGCTAACACTAACTTTTGAAGTAGCAGAGAAGGTATGACCAAGTACGTATTCACAACCCTACCTACAATACAAGTTTTCGGCCACATAAACATGACAAATTAGGAATGAGGGATCATAAGATAAATAGATCCTAATACTACATATGATCACCTTTCAATACAATTTGAACCAAAAGCTATCCAAAAACAAGAACTCGCTGTTGCTACTTGGTTATGTTATCTTCCTAAAAAGCAACATGCAGCAGGGAGCACGATCCTAATGAACACCCTGCACAGTCTCTTTTTGATCACTTTGTTGAGTGTCATTACTAACATGCTGATCATTTTGGCCAGACCTAACATCCTCGTTCCCAGGTGTAGCAACACCAGGTATCTCCCCAAGTCTCTCCTGCAGCACCATTATATCATATATATCAGATCGCAGACTCGATCTGCATAAATTTTGTATGGTCGTAAGAATGGAATTTGAAAATTAGAATGGTCATATTAGTCATTTATAAGCCTTTTCTTTCTCTGGAATCTGGGTTCAAATACGAGTGTCAGCAGTACGTATAAATTGGTATGGGTAACAATGCTTGCCAATTAGAACAATAGACCATAAACCAGTTATCAAAGCATTTGAAGATTTCAAAATCACCTTGAGGGAGGCATTCTCAGAAAGTAGCTGCTCGTAGTTACTCCTGATCCTGCTCACTTCGGTTCGGAGAGTGGCATTTTCTTCTTTCAAAGCATCAGCACGCTGGGCTAGTTCATCACATTCGGCCTGAAAACAACGCACGCAAAAGGGATTTGAAATTTGAAAATTATGACCTGCAACCAGAGATATGAAAAAGAATATACTCTCTGTCACCTGCTTCCGTAACCTGGATCTGCGTGCAGATTCTCTATTAGACTGCTTCCGCCTTTGTCTTTTAAGTTCTCTTTCGTCCTAAAAGTTAAACCAAAAAGGATGAAGATTAACACAAGAGTTCAGTGATGTATCACCCGATTATGCAAACTAAATGTCCAGTTGACAAAGTTAACCTGGAGCCAAATTTGTGACTGAACACCATCTCGTGACCCAGCAGTAATCATCCCTCCAGCAACTGCAGCGGAAGAAACCTTTCCATGCAGTGCAGGAATGGTGGATGAAGTTGGTGTGCCCCAATAATCCATTCCTATATTTAAATTAGTAGTGGGACCAGGAACTGCTCCAGGAGCACTTGCAGTAGACATGGGTATGATAGGCATAGTTTGGTTAACTAGTGTCTGAGGTCGAATATGTACACCATTTTGAGGAGCATGTACCGAACTTCCATTTTGAGATGGTTCATCTGTAATATAGCAAAACATGTATTTTAGCTGTAACATGGATACACTATTAATATAAAAACAACAACACAAACAGAAAACATTTTCAAACATAACCATGTCATACCTTCAAAAGAGTCCTGTCTCTCCCCGGATTTCAATTGCGAGTCCTGCAAAACTCATAGAAATAAATTCCAAGGGTACTTACTACCAGACAAGCACAAAACACAAAAAAAAGGGCAGCATCTACAATAGATTACATTTCTAAAGATCAATTGAAACCTTCTTAAGATGGCATAAAGGAAGATCCTCACTTCTCAAACATGAACACGTTAACCCCATGTATGAGTATGGGTAACAGTTTTAGGAATAAAGATTAACCAGAAATATGCCTGATGTGCATTTACCGGGAATAATAATAAAATTATTATTTAAATCTTTGGAACATCAATTCATATTTCCTATTGGTCAGTTCAATGGTAATTGAATTTAATTTGAAAACCCTATTTGTATTTTTTTTGTTATTTTTTAGTAGTATATGAAACTAATCCACCGGGCAACAAACTAATAGTGGCCATGCTTAGTCTTTGGGGAATCAAGAGGATTGGGTATGAGATAAAGAATCTTGGTGGAAACGAAGTGTTCAAGACTTGGTAAAAAAAAAAGTTTTAAAGCTTTCCATGGATGAAATAATGTTAAAAATTGGATAATTTATCAAAATACTAGGAAATGAAATGAAACAAGAAAAGCAGTGAGTGAAATAAGATCTGAAGCTTTTGGAGAGTTTTACAAAGATATCAGGGCAAATAATGAAGAATAAAAGATATATAAGTTTAACAAAAATAGAGAAAGGAAAATGATATATTTGGATAAATAAGATGTATTAAGGGTGAGAGGGAAGTTTTTGGTCAGAGACTAAGATATCAATGCGAGATGGTAGAATTATTTTTGTAAGTTTTTCAATGATGCACAATGATTGGTGGTAATATGGATAGATTAAAATCTAAAACAATGAACAAAATTTGACATAACAATCTTAGAATTCAGATAAAAAAGGTAGAAGAGAACCTTAAGCAGATGGATAGATGGTATTCTATATCTATTGAAGTATTTAAGTGTATAGAGAGCAAGGCATCATTTGGCTACGGATATATTTAACCATATTTGAGATCTTAGATACCAAATATGAAGAGGAAGAAAACTTTGATTCCTATATATAAGTCTTACAAGGGAGATATTCATAATTGTGTTAAGTACAATAATATAAACTATTATGTCACACTATGAAATTATGAGAACAAGTAATTAAGCGTAGATTACAGGAAGAGATAGGTCTTGCAGAGCATTAATTTGATTTTATGTTAGGCAGTCTACTACAAAAGTTAATTATCTTTTACAGGGGTTGATGGAATGTACAAAAGCAAAACAAGAGACTTACGTATGTTTTTTATTGACCTGGAAAAAGGATATGATTAAGTTCCAAGAGAAGTGTTATGAAAAAATATGGAAAAGAAAGGTATGCATGATGTGGTAACTACTAGTTTGAGAACTCTAGGAGGCAAGACAGGAGGATTTTCCAAGGATAGGATCTTATCAAAGCTGCCTTTTAAGTCATTATTTGTTTAATCTAGTCTTGGATGTTCATAACCTAATTGCATTATCTTTTTGCGTGGATGTTATAGTTTTGATCAAGGTTATCAAACTTGAGAGTCTACGTAGACTCCTTGAAGGTATGTAAACTCGATTCGTAAACTCGGAAGAGTCTATTTCATATGAAAAATATCAATTTAATAATAAATATAATAATATCAATTCTATATTATTGAAATAATCAAAATAAAAAAATAATGAATATGTACAACACTATAATCAAAATTAAAAAATCCCTAAATCTCTAAAATCTCTCCATCTATTCGAGACCCTAAAATCTCAATTTCTTCAATCCTTCAATCTTAACATGCTCCATCTATTCGAAAACCCTAAAATCTCAAATCCCTCAATCTAACCTAGAGGGGCGGTGAGCAGCAGCAATAACAGCAACGGCAAGAGGAGCACAACCACGCATGACCAATGCGCGACTAATGCAGTACCGAGGTGCGTTGCGCAAGCACCCCGTGACCAAGAGCGAGCATGCGACGGCGATCACCGGCGACAACAAGTAGTGATGAACAATAAGAAGGAGCGAGATCTGAACTTGTGAGAAGAAATGAGGAGTCAGAAAAAAATCTAAGTTTTTCTTTTCCTTCAAACTCGGTGACTCGCCTCTAACTCGCGAGTTTACTCAAAGTTCACCGAGTTTGACTCTGAGTCTACTCTAAAACAAGTCTACTCACAAGTTAACTCGTACCCGATTACTTGACTCGTTAACTCGTACGAGTTAGCGAGTTGACTCGCGAGTTTGATAACCATGATTTTGATTATGGAAAACAATTAATTTTAAACATAAGATTGTAGAGACTTTGGAAACAGAGTTTTCACTAAAGTAGGAGTGAAACTTAAGGTATTTGTGATCACAAAGCACCTATCAAGCACAAAGGCAAGTTTTGTTATGTTTCTATTTGTCAAACTATATCTATAGTAGTGAATATTAGGCAATAATGGGATTGTTTGAAATATTACATCAACTAATGATATGCCTAAATTAAGATATATCAACTAGTGATATGTGTTGAGAAATCCCACATCGACTAGAGGTATATTAACATTATAGCCGATTTTGTAAGATAAATTAGGACATTAATCGTTAATAGTGATGGACCCAACCACACATTATTGGACTAATATTGACCACTCATCCTCGATATGAGGGAGTGTGATAAAAAACATATTCTTCAATATGACGGGGTGTGATAAAAAATTCTCCTTGGTGTGAGGAGGTATGTTGAGAAATTGACTAGAGATATGATAACACTATAGTATATAGGTGAGTACAATCCTTACTGAACCGGTTTTGTAGGATTGAGTTAGGCATCTCATCATTTTTAAGAATATTCCCAAATTAAGATATATATATATATACATATATATATATATATACATATATATATATACATATATATATATATATATATGTATGTATGTGTGTTGGAGACAACTCACCTCACAAACCAATTTTCTAGGTTTAAGTTAGTCATAAATCCAAGTGGCGGATCTTGACCATTAATCTTGAGGGGACCAATTAATATATTATTAATAAATAATAAATAAATATAAAAGGAAAAAAGAAGATGAAAGGGTGAAAAGATAAAATTGTAGATATATACTAAAATATATTAAATGATCATTAAGTTTGAAGGAGAGAAAATCATAAATTATGAGTTACAAAATTGAGGAGGAGCTGAAAGGATAAAATTATAAATATACAAGTAAATATATTAAATGTTCATTAAGTTTGGGGGGCCAAAATCATAAATTACATGGGAGTTACAAAACTTTGGGGGGGGGGGTCACGGCCCCCTAAGCTCCCAAGAAGATCCGCCACTGCATAAATCTAAATTTTAAGATAATATCAACTTCTATACTACTGATTTTTGTTATCAGATCTATTAGACCAACCGGATCTGTCCAATGCTGCAAACTTGATCCTCATGAAGTCCAATCCTTGACTCGAGAAGGAGTGTTAAAGATACCACCACATCTACTTGAGCAAAATAATTGAAGGGACAAATTTCACTTTATGAGCCAATTTTGTGGGGTTGAATTGGATCCAACCCCAAATTCAAAGAAGCATAATAAGATAAAAAGGTGAAGTGGCATAAATGAATGTGGGGTCATGCAAGAAAGGATAGGAAACATAAATGATTGTATAGCAGGAGATATTGATGTAGCAGCACTGGAGGAAAAGATGACAAAAACTTGGTTATGATGGTTTGGTTGATAACAAAAGTCGCTGGAGGTGCTAGTGAGGAGAGCAGATCACATGGTTTTTAGTCTTGGGAAAAGGAGAGAGAGATAACTAGAAGGACATTGAGGAAGGATCTCATAAACTCAAGATTGGTCTTTAACCAAACCGAATGGCTTTGTATGATCAATATGAATGTTTTGTATGATCTATATAACAGACATAACCTAATGGGATAAGACTTTTGCTGTTCTTTAGACATTGGTAAGTTAGTTTGACAAAGTGAAATTACAAGAGCTAACAGTTTATGGTAACAACTAGTACAATAAAGATAAATAACTTGATTTTTTTTTTTTTTTAAATCTCAATCAGGATTTCTGTTGATAATGTAATGAGGAAATAAATGCATGTTGCATGTTCTCAAAATGATATTTAATTTAAGATTCAACTTATCAACTGTGCTAAACATGCAATTCCTTAGCAACTGAAAATAGATCAATAGGCGTTATACACCCTAGATCCATGCCATTTTCGTCACCCAATGTACAAACATTAGAAAGTTAAAGATAATTACCTTAATCTGTCCGAAAATTTGACTTTAGGTAATAACAATATGAACATTCGTTGATTCTTTATGCTGTTTTGTAACAAAATTGTACTAAACCCACATAACCTTGCTTCTTTTTTCAATCATAAACTTGCAATTTTAATGCTTTTAACTAATATTTCCTTAGATACACAACTTTTCAGACCTCGTGTGTTTACACCCCTAGGAGACACAGTTACTTTCCAGAATTATATCATGCCCAATTACTGCTGCTAGAGAAGTAAAATGTTACAGATTTATATTTTGGTAGTCTAGAAAGTGGCATACCACTTACTCAGACATCATTTTTCTAAAGAAGCATGCAAGAGTCAACATGGACTTAAGGTTTTGTCATTTCTTGGATAGATAAATATTGACAAGTAGCACAGAACTTACATTATGGGAATTCTCGTCACTTCCTTCACTAGTTCCGTCACTTGCACTCTCACCACTGCAAATTCAAATTTTCATCAATATAAGTATAGCCGGTACGCAATTGCAAATGGAAAGACACTCAAGGGACTTGGCTAAAGTGATACCCCTACCAGTATATTTCCTGCAGTAGACAAGACAATAAAGCCCCAGAATTGAAAAAAAAAAATGAATATAGGGAAGTTTACAGGCATGTTAAATGTCAAATATTCCTCTTGTCTTCTAAAAGTAAAAAACATAAAAGAAGGTCCATACAAAAGCTTTCAAGCTGTATTAAACAACACCATACTGACACAGCTAAAGAAAGTGAAACCAAATAACTAGGTCTATTTGTATGACCTAGAATGATGCAAAAGCATCTCCACAACTAATATCAGTTAATGATTAATCATATTTCAAGAAACCACAATTTGGCTGGACACTCAACAGGAATAACAAACAAGAAAAAGCTCTGCCAAGTCCAACACTAGCTGGATTTAGGAGTTGTGTCAGGCACTTATTCATGTCAAACACTTCAAATACTCCTAGCTGCATTTATATAATTCTTTTGCTTTTATTTAAAAAAAAATCTATAAATACATCGTCACATTTTATGTCTACAAATGACTCATGTTCATTTTATAAAACATTATCACGCTGGATTTAATATGTATTTTATGTTAAATTTGTATTAGTTTTGTATATTATAATTTTATAGTGAGATATTATTTTATTTATTTAAAATTTGCCATATACCATGCTGTATCCATGTTTTCTCAATTATGAGTTTACTTTGATTCAAACAACAGAGGCCTTAATTCAATTACTACTGATCAATAAACAAATCTTACCTTTTGGAATGAATCCCATTAGCAGATTCTCCTGGTGTTTTACCAAGTTCATTATTTTTTCCTGTAATCCACATATTCAAACTACCCCCACTGGCACTTCCTTTTGATCTTTTGATTGGCAATTTTTCCTTCACCTCAGGAGGTTTAGCACCAACTTCAATGCTTCCTGGGGTATTTCCCTGCATGTCAACTTGTAGGTTACTTTACTTGGATAAAGACAACTAGTGCACAAGAAGGACCAAAGACAGGAAGTGACAAAAGAAAGAGGAAGAAAGAGACAGGGGAGAGCAAGCAGAAGAAAAGAAGAAAAAATCAGAAGACTAAAAGAACTCACAGAAGTATCTGCAATACCATTTGGAGAAGCCATGGCAAAAGGACTGAAAGGATAAGATCCCTACATAAATAGGTAGCAATATGCAAATATTGGTTAATGAATTCTAAATTATGATGATTAACTACAATCCAATGTCCACAAGAAAGCATTGTATACAAATAATACCGGAGGAATGGATGGATGGGCATAAATCCCACCATGGGGATACATTGCTACATAGGGATGTGGTGGGGTGCCATAGGGAGGCATTATATGCTGCAAGTAAATATTTCATCAATAAAGCAATGGAAACATGAGGGAAAAATAAAAAAGATAAACATTCGATGATATATGACTAAACATAAAATTTTCACGTGGCAGAATAGATTCAGATCGAATATCATTTTGAATAGAGATGTGCTGTTCCCTGAGACGTGCAAGAATTGGCACCATTATTAACTCATCAGACATTCAGCCATTATAAGAACCAATTGTAAATAATAACAACTATATCAAACACAAAAATGAACTTGTTACTTCTCTTTAACTTTAACAATGACACTATCTTGCCGAGGAGAAACGACAATATCTATATTTGCAATTGGGCTACAGCTACAATAATAAAATATTGACAATAGCCTAAACAACAATAATGCTAACAACGTCAAAGGATTGGCAACATTAAGTTTTGCCAATCTCTTCAGATTTCTAAATAAAACTCAAAGGATATATACAATATTGTACATTATTGTACCAATGCGATGGGCAAATCATTATGTATGTGATAAATACCTGGACACCCCACATATATGGGTGGGCTTGGGGACTTGATGCCAAGAAACCATGTGGAGGTATAGGAGAATATGTCTGTACATTTAAGGAATTGAAGATCAAAATCCAAGCTTGACAACAAAAAAAGTAAAAAATAAAAAAATAAAAACTCAATAAACAAATTAAGACTTTCTCATTAAAAACCTGAAAGTTAGACCAGTCAGGATTAATAGTCGCCAAGCCAGTTGTCGGAGACTGCTCCTGGAGAAGAAAATAAAAGTATTTCAAGCATCATTTAAAAACTTAACTATCAATATAGACAAAACAAAAGAACCCCGATAGACCTGTGATGTAGCTGGAGGTGTCTTAGACTCCTTCTCTTTTGGGGTTTTGTCCATGTCACTACTACCCATGCTTTTATATAGATATCTTCCAATAAATTAAATTAAACCATTCTGCACCAAGAACAAAACTTATATCACAAGGCAGCCATATGGACACAGATACCACGCTCCTGCGAAACCCATAACAGAAAAATAAGTTATGCTAGTGAGAGAAAACACCTCAAGAACCTGTTTCCTGGTTGAACTATTTTACAAAATTCTAGTATATATGCTTCACGAATTGGTTATATTGGCAGGAAATCAACTAATGCATTACTCCCTTTGCCCACAACAAACACTGCTGCATAATCCAAAATCCTTCTTTTTAATTTCTCTCTTATATTTTCCCCAAACCAGTATAGTACTGGTAGGTCCTGTTTATCACTGTCCAAACAATATACCATTACCACATTAGTCTCCACCTAAATTGGCTTGGCAAAAAATAATCAAAAACTTAATTTTCTAAAAGAAGAAATAAAGGACACACGTTGAAATTGATAAAACCCACCAATCTAGCACCAATAAGAATTAAAATTCTGGAGGAACAGAGCAATTAACAACAAATTAAAGCTCGGAACAACAAGTAATTGGCAAAGCTAAAGCAGAAGAAATATAGTCAATACCTTATATATGGACGCCGTCAAAAAGAAATCACAGATTTAAACGAGAGAAATAAATAAATAAAATATATATGATAATTTAGGGGGCTGTCTGACGAGGAATTTTTTGGCGAAACGAATAAGAAGGCGGTTTTGTGCGAAGAATTAAGAAATGAGGAAGAATTAGGGTTGGTTTGGTTTGGGTTTAGGTTGAGGTTTGATAGATGGATGGTGGCGGTGTATTGATGACGGTGAGGCAGCAATGGGCAGGTCGTACCCCGTGGCAGAGATTTGGTTACTGCTTCGATTTCGGAAAGAACGAAAGTGGAATGCCCGTTTACTCCTTCTCCCGGTGACTGTGCCTCTGCTCCTAATTTTTAATCATCCAAACTTCAATGGATTATCATACATTTCTTTTTATCTCAAATTTTAATACCCTCATTTATTCCAATATTATGTAGTTAAATTATCATAAAACTATAACTTCAATTTTAATACCATATTTTATTTTAGAAAGTTTATTATTTTTATTTTAGTTGTAGTTGAACCAATGTCATGCATATTTTGGAAAATTTTATTTTTGTCCATTATTTTTTTAATTTTATATCAATTTAATCCTTAAAAAATTACTGTTTTCAACCTAAAACATTTTGTTTATTACTAATTAAAGCAGTGAAATTTGTCTTATTATATTCACCCATTAAACTAATTAACCCAATTGATGTATGTAAAAGAAAAAATTATAAAAATAACAAAAAAACTGCATAAAAAAATAAGTCTGGTTAATGTTATATTATGTTATAATTTAGTTTCTGTTTACAGCTGTTACAGTTTTGATTTTTGTAGTTAAATCTTTTGTATTTGATACCTTTTCATATAATATTTATGTAAATATATAAACACGTAGTGTGCATACGTGTGCATATAGTATTTCTTAATTCTTCTCTGCTCTCCAACAAATTTTTAGGCATCTTGGGAACAAAAGTTATTTTTAGGTATCAGGAGCAAAGGTTCAGATCTTGGGAACAAAAGTCATGGCAGTCAATGGAAGCGGAAATTTCGTATCTAACCTACCAGTCCTTGATGGCAAGAACTATAATCATTGGGTCATTCGGATGGAGGTTATTTTTAGTTATCAAGAATTGCTGGAAGTGGTCAGAGATGGTGCGAAGGAGAAAGACGAAGCTGCAAACAGAAAGAAGGATTGCAAGGCTCGTTGTCTTCTTCATCAATGTGTGGATACGGTGAATTTCAAAAAGATCTCCAAGGCGAAAATAGCGAAAGAAGCTTGGGATATTTTGCAGAAAGTACATGGTGGAGCAGAGAAAACCAAGAAGGTGAAACGACAGGCTCTCAAAAGGCAGTTTGAGTTGATGGTCATGTTGGAATCAGAGAGTGTTGCGGAATATTTCAACAGAATCCAACTCTTGGTTAATTCGATAAGAGCATGTGGAGCAGATGTGACAGAACAGTGTATGGTTGAAAAAATATTACGAATGAAGTTCGACTATATTGTAGTGGCTATAGAGGAGTCAAAAGATACAGAGGAGATGACATTGGAGGAGCTGCAGGGATCGCTCATGAATTAAAGCTTGTAGCAAAAAATGTTATGAAGATAGAAGAAGAACAGACATTAGCTACTATAAAAAAAGGAGTTTTTTTTTGCGTGGAAGATGGAAGAAAAATAGAAATGGTGGTCGTTGTGATAAAGAAGGTGGTTCTTTAAATCAAGAAAAGAACATAGGAGATTCTGGGGAACGTACAGAACAAATGAGAACTGCCAGAGGTAGTTTTGGCAGAGGAAGAGGAGGAAGAAAGAATCAAGATTTGAGAAAGATCCAATGCTACAACTGTGAGAAGTGGGGGCACTATGCTGCTGATTGTTGGTTTGGAAAAGACAAACAAAAAAAGAGGTTGAGGTTGAAGCAAACGTGGCACAGGATGAAGCCAATGAAGAACCTGTTGTATTGATGGTTCCTTCCAATGAAGAAGGTTTCATAACAGGTAATTGGTTCTTGGATACGGGTTGTTCCAACCATATGACAGGTCATAGAAATTGGATTTCGAATTTGGATACAAGTAAAACCAGTAAAGTGAGGCTTGCAGATAACAATGTTATTGAGGCAGCAGAGATTGGTGATATTGTGATAAAGAAGAATGAGAAAGAAGTGATCATAATAGAGAGTGTGTTATATGTTCTTGGAATGAAATGTAACTTGTTAAGTGTTGGACAACTAGTTGAGAAGGGTTTCACTGTCACAATGCAGGGAGAAATGTTGAGAGTTTATGATGCAAGGAAGAAATTGGTGTTGCAATCACCACTGTCCAAGAATAGGACATTTCAAAACAAGGCTAGATCCTGTTGAACAACACTGTCTAGCAGCCACAATTATTGATAAGTGGAGCTGGTTATGGCATCAAAGGTTTGGACATTTGAATTTCCATAGTCTCAAGAAATTAGCTGATAAAAATATGGTGATTGGTCTGCTTGAAATTATTGTGCCAAGAAAATTGTGTGAAAAATGTTTAGTTGGAAAACAGTTCAGAAATGTTTTTGATTTGCATATGCATATGAGAGCCAAGAGTGTGCTACATGTTGTATATTCATACGTATGTGGTCCATTTGAAGAGCTATCACTTGGAAAGAATAGATATTTTGTAACATTTGTTGATGAATTCAGTAGGATGATTTGGCTATATCTTATCAAAGCCAAAAGTGACGTGCTGGCAGTCTTCAAACGTTTCAAAGCTATGGCAGAAAGACAGTGTAGAAAAGAGTTGAAAATCTTGAGAACTGATGGAAGAGGTGAATATGTGTCCAAAGAGTTTAAAGAATATTGTATTGGACTGGGAATCCAACATGAGACGACAGCACCCTATACCCCACAACATAATGGGTTGGCTGAAAGGAGAAACAGGACCATTCTTGATATGGCTAGGAGTATCTACTGCTGTGCATATTTTAAACAAGTGTCCTACCAAGAAGCTTGGAGATAAGGTCCCAGAAGAAATCTGGTCTGGCAGAAAACCAGTGGTGAGTAATATGAAAATTTTTGGTTCTGTGAGTTACAAACATACTCTAGATGCTAGGAGGAAGAAGCTAGGAGATAAAAGTACTGCAATGATAATGGTAGGATATCATCCTACAGGGGCGCATATAAACTCTACAATCCTGCTACTAATGAAGTTTGTATCAGTAGAGATGTTGTGATAAGTGAAGATGAGTCATGAAATTGGAAGGAAGCAACAGATATGGCTGGAAGTCAGATTGTTTCAGTAACAATTGGAGATGAAAATAAAGAGTTAGAGAGCAATCAGGTTGGTGAAACAAGGCTCACACAACAGCAAGTACAAAGAGAACCAAGGAAGAGAACCATGCCAAGAGCATTGATTGACTTTGAAGTTTATCCCGATAATGCTATAAATAATGAAGGAGATTTGGTTCATTTCGCATTACTGGCAGAAGCAGAACCTATTGATTATGAAGAAGCTATGAAGCATGAGGTGTGGAAGGCTGCAATGATGGAAGAATTGGATTCAATTGAGAAGAGTGGAACCTGGACATTGACAGAATTGCCTCTGAACAAGAAACCCATTGATGTAAAATGGGTTTTCAAGTTGAAATTACATCCAAATGGAGATATTGATAAAAGGAAAACAAGACTTGTTGCACAAGGATTCCTGAAGAAAGAAGGTCTAGACTACACGAAAGTTTTTGCTCCTGTAGATAGAATTGAAACTATAAGGTTGGTGGTAGCTTTGGCAATTGGAAAAGGTTGGCCTTTGTTTCAACTTGATGTGAAATCGGCTTTTCTCAATGGTCCACTTGAAGAGGAAGTATATGTCACTCAACCTCCTGGATTTCCGGTTAAAGGGAGTGAAAATAAAGTTTTCATATTAAAGAAGACTTTATATGGGTTGAAACAGGCACCAAGGGCTTGGAACAAGTTGATGGATGCGTTTCTGTTTGTAAAATGTCCAGTGGAGCATGGAGTCTATGTTAAAATTCTGGATGAAACCAATGTGCCGTTAATGTGCATATACGTTGATGATTTGCTTCTTACGGGTAGCAATCAAGCTGAAATAAGTATATTCAAGGAGTTATTGATGGCTGAATTTGAGATGACTGATCTTGGAAGATTAAAATACTTCCTTGGAATGGAGTTTGTTGAAGTTAGTAAAGGAGTAATCTTATATCAGAAAAGGTATGCAGTATGAAGAAATTTTGCATGGAGAATTGCAATCCAGCTGAGACAAAGGTTCCAGTGATTGAAGGTGATGAAGAAGAGGCTGACAGCATACTCTACAAACAAATTGTTGGTTCACTTAGGTATCTATGTAATAGTAGACCTGATATTGCATTTTCTATTGGTGTTTTGAGCAGATTTATGCATCAACCAAGGAAGAAGCATGTGCTAGCTGCAAAACGGGTACTGCAGTACATTAAAGGGACTATTGATTTTGGAATTCTATTTCCTAAGTCAGATCAGATGCAGGACAAACTATTGGGTTTTTCTGATGCAGATTGGTGTGGTGATAGCAATGATAGAAGGAGTACTACAGGATACTTGTTCAAGTTCATGGGTGCACCAATTTCTTAGTGTAGCAAGAAGCAACCTGTTGTTGCTTTATCCACATGTGAAGCAGAGTATATAGCAGGTTCAAATGTTGCATGCCAAGCAATTTGGCTTGATTCACTCATGACAGAAATAAGGGTACAGATTGAAAGGCCTATTCAGCTGTATGTTGATAATAAATCAGCCATAAATTTGGCAAATAATCATGTGTCTCATGGAAGGAGTAAGCACATTGAGACTAGGTTTCATTTTTTGAGGAAGTAAGTGAATAAAGGGATATTGAAGGTGGTTTACTGTCCTACTCAACATCAAGTGGGTGACATTTTTACCAAATCTTTGAAGAATGAGAGGTTTGAAATGTTAAGGACTGAACTAGGTGTTGTTAGTTTGAGAAATTGAATTAAGGGAGAATGTTGTATTCTGTTATAATTCAGTTTCTATTTACAGCTGTTACAGTTCTGTTTTTGGTAGTTAAATCTGTATATAAGAATTATCTCTTAGTTGTATTTGATACCTTTTCATATAATACTTACGCAAATATATAAACACGTAGTGTACATACGTGTGCATACCGTATTTCTTAATTCTTCTCTGCTCTCCAACAAGTATATATATATATATATATATATATATATATATATATATATATATATATATATATATATATATATATATATATATATATATATATATATATATATATATATTATTTTTTCATATATATTTTGGATTTTATAGTTTTCATATAGATTTCACGTTTTAAAAAACAAAATAGTTTAAAATTATATTTAAAATTTGATAATTCGTATATAAACGCAGAGAGAGTATCCTATCAATTAATTTGCATATAAGTTAATTTTTAAGTTGTAGATAAATTAAAAAAAAATTCTATTAAATTTTTCAGTTAAATAAATGGTTCATACCAGATCAGTCTCCCCTCGGGTCGGGTTTCGTAATGGTTGGGATTATGAGACTCGTAATAAGATAGCGGGTTAATTTTTCATTTCATTCAGAAATCACCCAACCCATTAACTAACAATAGCTTCAAACAGTTGCAAGCAGAAGCATTGTTATGGCTACCTCGCTGTGTACACCCACCTACAGTCTCAAACTCAATTCGTACACTTCACATTCCCACAAATTAAACGCAAAGTCCTCCGTTCACTATAGGCGTCGTTTTGACACCGCCACCAGAATCTGTTGCGCCTCTAATAATTTCAACGATGACAACAACATCAAACAACAACGACCCCAATCCGAAGCTATTCAAGTTTACACGCAAATCGAGAGGTTCTTTCTCCTTTACCTCAAAATTAACTTCTTTGTGTTTCTCTGTATGCTACCTGATGGAAGAGATTCAATCTGAATTTCGTTACATGATACTTTACCAAAGATTGAGTGTACACAACATTCTTTAAAGTTGGGGACAGGGGACAGTAATAATAACACTACGCTTATCGGGATTTCATTTATAAGGTTAAACATGTGTATTTTAATAACGAAATCTCAATTTGGTTTCTTTTATTAAAATTTTGTTAAATCAGTCTCCGTAGTACATATAAAACGTTGTTGATCTGGTCTATGTCAATTTGTTTTCTGATACCCTTATGCGTTATTATTGCATGTATAACATAACAAATTCTTAATTTTAATTTTGTCTGTAAGGGTCCAATTTAAAATCGTGTTGTATGTATGATGACCAAATTAAGAATGTTCTATACCAAATTCGGGATATGTAAGGGAGTAATAATGACAATTGATAACTTTTTACATGTACTGGGACTGATATAATAAGTTTTTACTTGCAGATACCAAATTATAGAGACCAATTATATATGTCTAACCAATTTTTAATTTATGTATAGAAAAAATTGTTTAGGTGATGGAGAATACCTTTATTACATACAAAAAGAATAACTGAGGAATCATTTGGTTTGAGAAAGTGTTGTGTTTTTAATCTTAATAGAAAAAATAGTACCTTATTTTATTTTATTTTATTTTCAAAGTTTTTATAAGAAACAATAAATTAATTCACTGTTTCCTGTAGAAAGCTTTGGCAAATGGGAAATAGGTGAAAATGATATTTCTGTGATTAAAAGTGAAAATAAAAAATTAAAACAGATAACTTTTTTCAAATTTCTTCAAATAATCTGAGTCTAATAAAATATTGTCATTGTTGTAGGGCAAATGTCACATTTGATTTCAAACACGTGAAGTCGCTTCTTGACTCAAGAGTTTATGTGAGTTTACCCGAGTTTACTTAAAAAAGAATTTGATAGCAGTTAACTCTTCCTCTCTATCTAGAACCTAACCACATACAAGAGAGTTTGACAATTTTGCTCAAATTAAGGGTCTGCTTTTTGTTTTCATTTTTTATTTTCACTTTAATTTATAAAACTGTCACATATTTTTTCAATCTTCAAATATTTGTGCTGAAAACAGTTTGTTTAGATGAAAACAGAAGTAAACAGGCCCTAATGCCCTAATACCCTTAAACTGTCTAGTTGTGTATTGAAAACTGCAGTTTGTAATCGTACTACCAACTCATGGGTTTATTTTCTTGCTTAGCAGATTACTTACAGACTCTGTTAGACAATCTCAGGATGGCTGGTGGGGTTCCCGAGACTGGATTGAAGTTGAGGTATATACTCTATTGTATGGTAATGACACGTTTTTTTGTATTTTTCATACAGTAAATTTTTTATTCATGTTTGTCAGTATGCCAATCTGTAGTATAGTATATTTGGTACTATCTTCAGTTATTTTGAACAAGACTGTCCCTTTTATGAGCAATTTGATAAAGATGAGTTTTTATCTATTTTAATAGAAGTTGTTGAATGCAACTTAGAGAAGAAAGTTATAAGCGGGAGGAATCTGAGTTCTTAAAAAGTGTTTCTAGAATTCCTGGAGTCTTATTCTATAATCAAGTTTCAGCGTGAGTGACTTTATATTCTGAAGCTTTTCTAAAATACCAAAAGCAGCAATGTGGTCGTTGTAGCTCCACAGAAGCACATTAGAAAAAACATTTATGCAGCCCTATCCCTTTGTTTTGGAGTCATTCTTAATGTACTTTGTCGTACTCATTTTATAATTTCAGGGAGCTTGGATTCTTAAACCAAAAAGCTCCAGACCCAATTTCGTAGTACATTTTATCGGAGGTATATTTGTTGGAGCTGCCCCTCAGCTTACTTACCGTTGGTTTCTTGAGCGTCTATCGGATAAGTAAGTCCTGTTTTACTGTTCCCAAAATCCTCTAAGTTTCATTCTTGTCCCATGATTTGTTTGTGAAGTGTAATACTAATAACTACATGCTAGTAGTGTGCTGTGTGAAATTTTTATTTATTTTTCCCTGTTAATTGCATGGATTTATGTTCTTATAGATCTTTTTGGCTGTTTTGTTCCAATTCCCTGACAAACTCTTATTTATTCTATGAAATATACTATGTCTATATCATTTTGGCACTCATAAATCTAATCTGCAAATGAAAAAAACTAATAGTAAAACCCTTTCTGTTGCTAGGGGTATATTGATCATTGCAACTCCATATGCTAGTGGGTTTGATCACTTCCACATTGCAGATGAAGTGCAGTTCAAATTTGATAGGTGTTATCGCACACTGCAAGAAACAGTAAGTTTCAACTGGTGATCCAAGGGCTAGTTTCTTTGTTTTCAATTTTCCTTTTTAAACGAAAATATTAAAAGATACTCATTTATTCAGATCCAAGACCTTCCTATTTTTGGCGTTGGCCATTCTTTGGGATCAGTGGTCCACCTTCTGATTGGTATTTTAAAGTGCTTCTGCTAAACTTGATAGTATAAATTCGATTGATTTGATTTGATTTTTGGATTATCAAGAATTTGATTATTTTACCAGGATCAAGATATGCAGTGCAAAGATCTGGAAATGTTCTCATGGCATTCAATAACAAGGTATGCCATCCAGCAAAAGCAACTTATTTATAATCTGCCTTGGGTGAAGACATATTTTTTCAGTATTTCCTATATAAGAACTTCCTCTGTAGTTTGATGATAATTGACTAAATTTTATTTCACCATTGCAGGAAGCAAGTTCAGCTGTTCCTTTGTTCTCTCCGGTGCTTGTCCCAATGGCACAAACCATTGGTCCACTTCTATCAGATATTTTTTCTTCACCAACTCTACGAGTTGGGGTCAGTATTGCTATATATCTTACTCCAAAATGGTGGAAAATATATCTATTAATATTTTCTAGTAGAAATTTCAACAACCTTATGTCAAATAGAATTAATATATCTATTAATATATCCGATTTAGTGCCATATTATCACAACAATCTTCCCTTCAGATTGTTGGAAAAACTAGCTATAGACAAATTCTAGCTCATATCACTATCTGGTCTATTTTTATTTTTATTTCCATTGTATAATTGGGTACATTTGATTGGCATTAAAAAAGCTTATTATTTAGACTTAAAGAAGTGGCTTATTACCTTCCTATAAAAAGTTCATAGTTTAGCTCATGAATAAGTCTCAGGCACCTCACTCAAGATGTTCAACTTCAAATAAAAAAGGCTTTTTAAGAAATTGATATTTATTTTTTGTCATGAAACATTATTACATCAATGAATTCAAAGATGAAGTTTAGGATATCTAAGGGAGGTTGTGGCTATATGATATTAAAAGCTAAGGGATTCGACTGCTCTATGGACCATGTCTCAAGAGAGCTTACTTTAATTTCCCTTAATTGAAATTTCAGCATCTCAGTGATTGCATATTAGAATTTAACAATTTTCATGGCTAGGGAGGTTGTTCCGGTAAGAATAGTCAACTATAATATCACAAAAAAACTGGGTGGTCTCTTTTATTTGACATACCTTAAGATTTTGCTTTTACTTACCCTGTTTTTCTGGAACCCTTGCTCTGATAGTCATTGCTGTTATAGATAGTCTGGTAGAGTTTTTTGGATAGATTTATTGCTTTCAAGAACCAACAAGTACTCCTTTCACAGTATATGTTTTACTTCTATCGATGGCTAATCTTAGATAATTGCAGGCAGAGATGACTTTGAAACAACTAGAAAACGTTAGCCCACCCATTATGAAGCAAGTTCTTCCTTTAGTTGAGCAGCTCCCTCCCTTGTACATGGATTTGGTTAAGGGAAGAGAAGAGTTTTCTCCAAAGCCTGAGGAAACACGTCGACTTGTATGTGACATCCCAGATTTCTAATATTTTCAGCAATGAATTTTTATATATATTTTTTGTTTAGAATAGCGTTAGAATTAGAATACTCCTCTTGCGTAATATTATTTCTAATTAACATCAGTCTTGCATCTATTTTCTTAACTGCATCAATTCTTAGGTTAGATCGTATTCATTTCATGGTTTACTTTGTCACTCTTTAGAAGACAAATTTAATTGATGTCATTTTAGGGTTCACGTTCTTTATATTTATTGCACAATCTTTCAGTTCTTCTCATATTACATTATTTATGATCAAAGGGGGAGGGGGATGTTATGTCATGCAAACCGGAGATTTTATGAGGTATTGGCAACGATTTGATGCTCGTGTAAAAAGTAGTCATCATTTCCAATTCAATTTTATCACTGATAATTAGCGGGTACCACACTAAAATTAGGGTCCAAAACCAAAACCTATTTATTGATATTTCCTGTAATTTATCAGAGCAGCAACTTTTCCTAATTTTTTGTTTGAGTTTCTTCTTGGTTTGCAATTAGTTTCCTCATCGAATGTTTTCTAATTCTTCAGATAAAATCATACTACGGCGTATCCAGAAATCTGCTGATAAAATTTAAGGATGATTTAATAGATGAAACTTCAACTCTAGCTCAGGTGCTTAGTTCAGAATCAGCCATTAGTTCCGTGCTAGACATGTCCATACGCAAGTTGGCTGGAGATCACGGTCTTCCTTTACAACAGGTACGTCTAGCAAGAGTAACTTCACTTCTCCCAAAGATGCCATTATCCTTTATTTTTATTATACACCTTGCAGGCCCTACCAGATGTTCCACCAGCGATGGCCGATGCAGTTAATCGTGGCAGCGAACTTTTGTCAAATCTTACTGTAGGAACACCATGGGAGACCGTTGCCAAAGAAGTAGGGAACTCGCTAGGCATGGATTCCCGAGTCCTACGTGCTGACGTATCAAAGGACATGGATATGCTTGTGGATGTGATCGCATCCTGGATAGCATCTAATGCAGGGCCTAAACTTCTTAGGCCATAAGGTCACCATATTTTCTGCTTGTAGCTAGTGAAAAGACATGTTTTGTAGAAATGTATATAAAATCGAAATTGGCACTGACACTTCTTTCATCCTATCTCGGAGAATGCCAATCATGTGAATCCATACAATACAAGTAAGCAAATAGAACTCTGTCAATCACCCTTTGCTGTAAAAAATATAACTTACATTGTTACAGAAACAGTTGTTGTATATTGCTGTCCAAAATAGCTGTTTGTCTTATTTTAAAGACACAATAGGGTGTTGAGGGTCTTCAGGGTGGTGGCTAATTTTTTCAATATTCTTCAAATCAGTAGTAATACATGATTAGACCAACTCTTCCAGCAGTTTATCTTTTTCCTATACACAATGTTTAAATTGAAAACTTGATTATATGAATAAGACATTTAAGTGAAATTCGACAGTTTTTTTGAACTGTAATGATTCATTATCGGTATATGACACTAGCTAATCTAAATGCAAAAATTATTTAATTTAAATAAATCTCGTTATAAATTTATTATTATGAAAATAAGAGTACATTTTTATGTGTTACATTACATTCATTGTTATAACTTTGTAAATACAAATTGAAGCAATAACAAGATACATGCTGAGCAATGCACATACGTAATATAAATAGCAGAAAAAAGTGTTGTGCCCATGATTTGCATAAAAGTAGATAGAAAATAAAAAGTAATGATTATTATTTTTATTACACATAATTTTTAATATATCATAATCAGTAATTTAAAAAATATAAAGTCATTTAATAATTTTATTATTTTTGTTTTTGGGATAAAATCGTTATTTACAATATATTAATATATATATATATATTAAATTCATTAAAAATTATAGTTATCTTGTCATACGTATAATATAAGTGTCCTAGTAAATTATTTGTTTGTAATTACACTGTTAAAATAAAGTATATATTAAAAGAAGAATAATGTTAAAAATAAACTCACTCTTCATAATATATTAAGTAAATTATAAAAATAATTATGCGTAGTTATCTTATTTTTATAAAATAAAATTAAAAATATTTTTATTATTTTAATGATCTTAGTTAATATTTTTATTTTTAACACTAAATTAAAAGACTAAAGAAAAATAGTAAAAAAAATGCAGAGAATTTAAAAGTAACAAATTTTCCTGTAAGTTGAAAAAACTAATGACATCATATTTTCAAGTCCTAAACTCTTTTTTTTTTATTAGAAGGAATTGGTTGTTTGGTTCTCCGTTCTTTGGTTGCACTACCATGCTCTTAACTAAGCTGGATGAAGGATACAAGTCTGTTTATTTGTGAGTCTGATGATTCACAAATGGCTCTTGATTCAGATGGATCCTCGTATCTTTCATCCATATTCTTCCTTGGTTAATAACAAGTGCTGGAACTGGAACTGTGAGATAAACATGCAACATTTCTTCCTAAACATTACATGCAATATGACTATTGGGCATAAAAAAAATACACAAAATTAGTTTACATAACACAAAAAAGGAACACAAGTTAATAATATCTTCCTTTGAGAATGAAAAAGGATAAAAAAAAAAAAAAAAGATTAAATGATGTCTGACAAAAATATGTGTAGTGCAGCATCTACTTGGGTTCGACTTTTGTTGAAAGTGTGTACCCTCCGCTGTAGTCAAAGGCACTACTACTATCATTAACATTGTCCTTCTTATTAAAAGAAGCATCAATGTAGGGATGCTTCATTCCACCCTTAGAAACTCCAAAGTCAGTGGCAGATGAGGATGCAGAAGTAGAGTTTGTGTTCATCCCATCATTCTGCAAAATGATTTCAAGTGCTTTCACAACTTCACCCATTGTTGGACGGTCTGCAGCTGATTCCTCAACACATTGCATTGCCAACTCTAAGAACCTCCCAAATCCTATGAGGTTTGGAGTGTTCCTCACCACTGGATCCATCAGTTCCCTCAAACCATAGTGTTCTTCATCATTCTTATTCATAAGCGTGCGCACCTCGCGGACAATGTACTTGCCCTTCTCAATTGGTTGTCTAGAAGTTATTAGTTCAAGCATCACTACCCCAAAACTGTACACATCACTCTTCTCAGTGAGTTGTTGGGTCATGTAATACTCAGGGTCCAGATAACCCTGCACATGTTAAGCATTTTCAACTATCAAGCTGTTGTTGCAGAAAAGAAAAGAGAAAGTAAAATGAAAGAAACAATTATGGAGATTTTGCATTGGACAAGTTACATTTTTCTAGTATAGGGAAATATATTAGACATATATAGGACAATATCTGTTTTATTAGTTTCATGGGATACATTATTTATCACAATTTAAAGCTTGTGGAAAACTTGAACAACTAAACTAAATAAAATTGAAACCTTTTATATAAGGTATATTTGATTGTATACAAATGGTTCTTAACATAAACAAGAACAAAGATCTAAGCCATAAAAGAAAAGGTACTGTATTGCTCACCAATGTCCCTTTAACCTGAGTGGAAACATGGCCTTTCTCACTGTCCGATACAAGTTTGGACAAGCCAAAATCTGCAACCTTTGCTGTCAAATTTTCATCCAGCAAGATATTAGAGGACTTCACATCTCTGTGGATTATGGGAGGGTTGGCAAGTTCGTGTAAGTATGTAAGTCCTCTGGCTGAACCAAGAGCAATGCGGAGTCTCCTCTTCCAGTCAAGATGAATGTCAGATCTTCCTGCGACTCACATTGATTGTTTAAGGTATTTTATTAATTATTTTCTTAGTTGTATAATAATTTGCACAGAAACATGTGTACAATGATATTTCTGTTCCATGCAATGACTTTTTTCCCAAACAATTCAATCCACTAAACTGAATGTTAAAATTGCTCTTTCTACAGATGATAAGCTAGCTACTAGAACGTTCCAATAATGCGAGATACCTGACAAACTCTCCCTAAGTGTTCCATTGGGTATAAATTCGTACACCAACATCTGTTCCCCTTGTTCAAAGCAGAATCCCACAAGGCCGACGAGATTCTTGTGGTGAACTCTTGAAAGCAACTCAATTTCAGTCTTGAACTCTAGGCCTCCTTGCATAGATCCTTGCTGAGCTCGTTTGATTGCAACAATTTTCCCATCAGGAAGAACACCTTTGTACACCTAAAGTCAATAAAAGGGAATTATTAAACATTTACCATAACTTATAAATATGTGAACATAATAAGCAATACCTTGCCATAGCCTCCAAAGCCTATCTCATTGCTTTCAGAGAAATTGTTGGTGCACTTTTTGAGCTCGTCATAAGAGAACCATCTTGCTCCCTTTAATTGTGGTGCACCTCCACTATCCTTACCACTCGGTGCCCATGATGCTGGAAGAAATAGATGAATGTGGATAAGCAAAGTGGATGATAGCTTTCCGATTATCGAGGTTTTGTACACAACTGAATCACAAAGTCACACAAGTGATAACAAGAAAATGAGTACATTGAATGATTACCAAATGGTCTACTTAATCCAATTGCTCTCTCTGCACGCTTCTTTTGAAGAATTGCATAAATAGCTAAACCTATGAGGCTAAGAACCAGAAATGTGCTGCCAATTGCTATCCCAATAATAACACCTTTGCTAAGAGAAGCTCCTTTGTGAGAACCTGAAATAATTTACATTTAGTTGTAGATCACTGTAACCAGTTGAATATTGTAAATGTGATTTGTTTGAATGTTACCTGAAAAAGGATACGGAAATGCAATGAAATAATAGGGTCCAAACTCTTTTGGAGGCTTGTAAGTTTGATTACTCAATTCAAACCCAAGTCTTTGAACTTCTGACCTGTTAAATAATTGCCCTGTTGGTGGAAAGAGTGCTAGTTGCACTTGAAGATAGTCATCACTATTGAAGAAGGGGTTTTGCAAAGAAACTGAGCCAGGAGTTAGACCCAATTTCACCCAAAGGCTCATTTCAAGTGAATGGAAAGTATTTACATTGGACAGTTCTCTGAATGTGGGTCCTCTAAAGTACATCATTCCTTCAAATGGATAGGCACATTCACAACTTTGGGGGCTGAGCTTTTGATCGGGAGGACAAGATTTGCCTCCACAATTTGCCAAGCTTGTGGAGTAGGGTTGCTTAGCCTGTTGCTGAAGTTGGCAGTAATTTGTATTTGAGAGAGGACTACTGCACACCGGGTTACCTATTAGACTGAAAATAATAAGGATGACATCAGAAAAGAAAAGGCCTTACAAATGAAACAGCATACAAACCATTTAAGAGTAAAAAGCATCTCACATCAATGTAATTTTGTATTGTGCACTGAGTGTGACTGAGGAAATTTCATTTTTTTGCAAATCTACAAGCTGCAATTGAGGACAAATGTTTTCACCCATGCTCAATGTATCGTTCAATGCATTGTTTCGCAGTTTCCTGTAAAAGAAGAATGACAATATGAAAATTATAATGACTACCATTCTATTCTCTGTTTAACAACCAACGATCAACATATTAGTTAGGGACTTACACTTGCTGTATTTGAGGAATGTCGAATAGTTTGGATGGAAGAGGACCTTGTAGGGATCCAAACTCCATAATACTTCAGCACAGTGAAGGTTAATTGGGGAAAATTTCCTTGTTAGATTATATATTATTACATAAGTTCAGGAAACAGGTAAAAGGAGAAATTCTTATTTGTAACTAACAACTTACAGAGTGGTGAGTGATGGAAGAGTTGTGAACCAAACTGGAGCATCAGATGGATCAAAAGAGTTGTTACTAAGATCCCTGCACAAGGTTACAAATTGATCAGCGTTACGTGAACAACAATTATTAAAGGAAAGAAAACTGAAACACCAACCCGTGCAAATTACTTACACATAGTTGAGGGTATCCATTCCAGTTAAGTTAGGCAAAGAACCTTTGAAATTATTATGAGCTAAATTCCTGAAAGAGATCAAAACTGTATAAATTTCCATTGAATTTATTGTAAAATCCTTCTATATTTCCATATCTCAACATAAGTACCCACAAGTCATTGATGTTTGTAA